CGGGGTGAAGTCTCTCTCCCTCCACAAATCCAATTCCGAATTTGCGCTCCTTTACATGGCAGATGTAATAGACGTCACAAGGCCCCAGACATTGCTTGTCTTGCCCCGTCCAACACATTTCTTGGATGGCGGTGATGTCAGCTTTTGTCCTTACGAGGACATCAACCACCCGGGCAGAGGCATCTTCCCCATTAAGGGTCCGGACATTCCAGGTGCATGCCCTGAAATCGTAGTCCTTTAAACGTTTTCCGTGGTCGTCATCATAAGGGGGGGTCTCATCCGAGGCTTTGCCTGGTTTCTTCACAGCGCACAATCCATTGCTGGGTCGGGAGTGGTTTCGCAACCAAATACACGTTTATATAGCGAGCCGGTCGCTCCAAGCAGACACCCGCTTGCAGCCGCACCTACTGGTGAACAGACGCTGCAGACTTTAGTGAGCCCTTAAACCGAATAGGTCGGAGTGGCCCCACCGAAGCTCCCTCTCTTTCTGCCGTGACCCAAGGCTCCACTAGGATTGGTTACCGCATCTTGCACATGGGTTGCTCACGTTGCCCAGAGTGCGCGAATGAGGACGCAAGAGTCGGGATTGAGTATAGCCATGCAACTGTAACTGCATACCCAGCGCAACGACTATACCCCATTGCACTCCCATGACTGTTATGCCGAATTTCCACTAGGCATTGAAATGACAGCAAATATATGCCATTTAAAAAAATGCCATATGGAAATAATCATAATGAAAATTTTTTTAGCATAATGACACGAGTATTTTTTAAAGCCCAACTTTGTCATTTGTCATTATTGCCATTTAATGCCTAGTAGAAATCCAGCATTATTCGATTATCGATTATCCGTGGTATTTTCGAAGTCGTTTTCTCGTTCAATAAGTGCGTGTGATTGGTTTGTAGTGGCTCATCCTTCTACAAACAAACAATAGGATGAGCGATAAAAAACAATTCACAGTCGCTTATTTAACGAGAAATCGACATTCACATTACCATGGAAAAGCGATAATCGAATTAGAGTCGTTTATCTACTACTAGTCGACACTTGCAATAGGGGTGATAATTAATCGATTATCGATTCACAGCAACAAAGTCATCACCAGATACACAGTTTTTGCTGATTCACTTAAATGTTTCCTTTTTGCTGTCAAATTGAAGATGTATGAAAACTAAAATATAATTGTTATTTTCGTCAAATATTTACTAAATAATTATGAAACCCCTTCATTTCTGTGCGCTTTAAATCTATACATGTGAAATTGGAAACTAAAATGACTTTTTCCAAATAACTAATGCCAGGTCGGAGATTTAGTTTATTAGGCATCTTTTTAGTAGCATTTTGCGAAAAGTTACTTTGCCTTACTTATTTACTACTTAACAAGAATTTTAGCAAAGTATGGCTAATTTTGGTTAAATAAATCATTTATTTAAAAGAAATGTTTATTTATTATTTTTATAAATTTCTGGAAACCGATTGAAACCTGTGCTTCAAACGGTCTCGGTTTCGGTTTCGTTGCTTTTCAAGTCAAGATAACGGTTACGGTTTCGGTTTTGAAAAACGAAACGGTTTTAAACGGTTACGGTTTCGGTTTCATTCCTTGGTAAAAACCGATAATTTTCGAAAGCTCAAAGCTGGCGATATTTCTAGAAGGCGTGATTTTGTCCGATTTAAAAAATCTTCAAGACGGTGTTTAAACGGTGTTACGTAAAAAATAAACTCTTATTGGCGACGGAAAACATATTACAGTTATCAGGCAACTTAAAAAGTAAACGTTGGGTTTGGGTTATAACTCTTATCGGCAAAATAAAAAATATTTCTCACCTAGTAATCGTTATGGAACATCGTGTCCCTGATTTAAATCATTATATTTAAACCCTTTAATATGTTTTTTAAACGACCATAAATACTAAGTCTTCAACCGCTTTTAATCGCAATTAAACCACCAAGAATTTCAGTGTTCGCCAATTTTTTATTTTTTTTTATTATGGTAGCGAAAAAAAATATCTGGCAATCGGTTTTGTTTTGGTACTTTTGTTATTTTGTTCCTGCTGATATTTTAATCCGTCCGTTTTTAGTGATATCATTTGTAAAACTTTTGCAAAACGAATGAGGAAAATTTAATTTTAGCATTTTAACAACGTTTTTATTACTTAATATATGTTGAAATCTTGATTTTTGCCAAAAGCACAATTTTTTCAACACTATTTAATTACTTTCATCAATTTTGATTTCTGTAAACTTAAATCTTGTAGGTAGTTTTGCAACATTATGTAATATCACTCACCGCACTAACACCTATAATACACGCTAATAACGGTAGAAAATTTCTTATTATATTCAAACCAAAAAGCATTTCCGTATGTTATTCAATATTTATAATCTTTAATAATAATTCAATTTTTTATAATCTTTAAATTTTGTAGAGAAACTAATCGTATAACCGCCTAAAAACTCATGATTCGCCGCTGCGAGGTTCAGTTACTTTTATAATCTTCTTAGGACGCAGTACACGGAATAAAATTATTATGAAATTTGGGAATGTGTGGTATAAGATACATAAACATATGAAATATCGTTTTTCATGTGTACCTCCCGACTTTTGTACAACTTTGAATTCTGTAACAAAATTAGATAGGGCCTTTCGTTATTAAGGTTAGGGAAAGCTCGAATTTGCTTGCTAAATGAATTTCACCACTCGTCTTTGGCCAGATGGATTCCAGTCGATAGTTTTTCTTGCGATGCAATCAGCTGACTTACGTAGCGTGTGGACAATCCAAGACCACTTGGTCTTAAAAATTTGTTGTATAAGCGCCCACAGTAATTGGTTGGGAATGACCTCGAGTCAGGTAATGAGTGGAATCTTTCGGCGGCAATGGTTGATGACAGATTGGAGACATCCATAGAGAAGGACAGATTTAAAATTCAAGTTAAATAGCCGGAGCCTTGTAAATTTGAATAATCATTAGGATCATCAGATGCCTTTAACCATTCCAAATGCTTGCTTTTTCCTTGCCAGCGTGAGACACTATAGCGTGGAGTTTAGCTTGAATATCTAAAGGCCTCTCAGTTAAAACGCAACTGTCATCCAAGTATTTTTAGCCTTCAAGTCGCTCAAGTAGGCCCAATCCGATTATTTTACCTCTTCATGTTGCATCTCGCATTGCAACAGCCAAGGTAATATTTAATAAGAGAGAGGACAAAATACTGCTGCTGGCCATTTGTCCTTCAAGAAGGACTCGGCATGGGGTAAAGCTCAATGAGCTTGGTTGGTACGCCCTTTACCTTAGGGCATTTCAAATCGCACCATCGCATAAGGTATAGGATGTCTTGTTAAAGTGGATTAATTCAGATTAACGATGTCGATGTTCAGACTAGCGATGTCGGCACAGTTAATATGGGCTGAATAATGGCAATGCTGAGGTCAGTCCATTGGTAAATAAATTTGACCAGGCCATATACTGCATATGAAAGGCGTAAATATGTATACATATCGTCGTTTAAAGTACAAAATCGCGTATCGTCATTCTGCAAAGCCGCGTAACTGGCATTAGCTGCAAAAAATTGGATTTGCCCACACAAGCTCTTGGCTCAATCCTTATCCACTCGTCCTGAAATATACTGGCCAGGTATGCAATCGCTTTATTAAAAAGAGAACCATTTTGAAATATAAGTGTTTTTACTCTCTAGAAGATAATTTACATAATTCACATACGCGGTTTTGCATTTTGTTGATACGCGGTTTTGTACTTTAAACGATGATATGTATGTACAGATAAGCCGTGTCCTAGACCACCAGTCCACCCCTGTAAAATTGAAGCAAAATACTTTTTATTGAATAACCTACCAAATCGGGGATGCTCTATCTTTTGGTGTATTTCCGCGTCTCGGTTTCGACCGGAATTAGGTTAAACTGACCGGAAGTCCTTTTTTTAGTTAGACACGCATATTTTATTGTCGATCCGGATTCTGCGAACAAAAATAATGTCGGACATTTTTTTCTAGACTGGACTTCCGGTCTGTTTAGCCGAAAGTCGGTAATACGACCAAAATATAGACCATCCCCGGCTTGGTAATTTAAAATTACCGCTTTCCAATAAAAAGTATCTTTACTAATTTAAGAAGTTCAGAACGAGTTGAAGTTCGAAGGTCATTTAGAGGTTGAACAAGGTCGATGTACCACCAGATGATAGAGCACTCTTGATTTGGTAGGTTTAATTTTTGAGTTTTCAATAAAAATGTCGCTCCATTTTGGAGGCGGTGGACTGCACTGTACATATACATATGTACATGTATGTAGATAGGTCAAATGATCATTCCAGATCTCTAATTGTTCGTTAGATTTACAAATAGTCTCAGCATTCTAACTTTTATCACGCACAGTAAAACTATTACATTCTTTATTTTATTTTACTTAAAAAAGTTAAAGAAATTTTGAAATGATATACCAAGCGATTATAAGTGGATTTTCAGCGATACTATTTTTTTAAGTGCAACAATCTGAAATGCATTATCGGGTAATTAAAATAGCAAGTAAACAGTTACAGCGTTAGGCGACAAAAACTAATTGCTACAAACTTTAAATGATTTGAAAGCTACTAATTATATTTTGGTAAATATTGATCACAATGTAGACAAAGTACTGGCATCATCAAATCAATTGAAGCTCGTTAGAAACGCATGACAAACGATAGTGTGGCGTATGAGTGATTTTTACAAGCTCTTGAAGCGGCTATTAAGTCTTGCTGTTGTTTGTAGTATTCGTTTTTTTTTTCAATTGTTGTTTGTGCTTGTCCTTTGTTGCATGTATGATTTTAAATGCTAATGCTGTATTTTTTCGCAATTTTCACCTTTTTGCTCTGCACCCCCATCAAACCTCAATAAATTGAAACAATCGCTTAAAAATAATGCAAATTATGCCTCACACACATATGTACTTAAATAAAAAAAACGCACAACCACACAATACTTGACATACAAAGGTTTTACTATACCAGATTTAAAGAATGGAAAAATGGTGAATCGTGCGCGCGGTTTGGTGGTGCGCATCTTTGATGCCATCTGCAACTGTGCCAACACGGCTGCTGGACCGGCGCAACGCATCAAGTTGCGCGCTAAGCGTGCAGCATCATCAGCGACAGCACCAGCTACAGAAAATGGCACAGATGGTAAGAAGAAGGACGCAAACGTCAAGGAGAAAAAGAGCGACAAGAAGCAAAAAGATGGTGACATCGCTGCTGCTAAGGCAACTAAAGAAGAAATTAACGGAGAGAAAGGTATTGAAAGCGTTGATACACCTGTCGAGGATGGGAAGAAGGAAGCTGATGCAGTTGAGAAACAGGAAACGGAAGCAGATAAGCATTAATTGTATGCATGAATGTGAAGAAATACTACATACATATGCGTGTGAGTAAGAAGAAAACATTGCCAATAATATAATTTCCATTGCTTTAAGGAGTCTCATAAATAAGGCAAGTGGATGGAGAAGTCGAAATTTTCGGGCAGGGAACGTATGTATGTAAATAAGGAGTTGCAAGTTTTGCATTGTTTAACATAATTTGATATAATTAAACTTAGGGCAACTTGGTCAATTTAAAAGCATTTACAGGAAAATTTTGCATATAATATAGTACATACATATGTACCTATGTATTTACCAGGGCTGGAAAAGTATGCACAATCGTGCTATTTTCTCTCTTTTTAATGCCACCCGGCCCTTTGCGTACTTAGAATAAAAAATATGGTTATGCTAATAAAATTTAAATTTTTTCTGCTTTCCAACGTATGTATATTAGACTGCCTCGCTCCCCATACAAAAAATAATCGGTATTGTGTTTCCATTGGAATTATAAAATCTATTAAATTTTAAGACTTGCACCAAAATATTTCGAAAAAATATTAAGATTTACGTGAGCTGAACCGATTTGAAAATACTTCCAAAAATTTAGTTTTTTATGAATAAAAAGTTTCTTAAATAATTTGATGACAAAACAGTTCAAGCCTAAAAAATCTGTATAAATACATTAAAAAAAAATTTTTCAACGGAATCGTAATAATGAGATTTTTGATACTTTTTTTAACTCTTTTCAAATATTGGTGTAAGAAAAACTTGAATAACTCGACCAAAACTATTCCGATATACACTTATGAGGTATTATTGGAAAGGTATTTTCTCTTTCATTTATTCTTTTATTTCTATTGGTAAAGGGACGTGAATGAGTTAAATTTTGCAAAAAATAAAAAAATGGGGAAATACCAACCTGTGATACCTCATAAATCTAAATCGAAATAGTTTTGGTCCCACTTATTCAAGTTTTTCTTAAACCAATCTTTGAAAAAAGTTAAAAGCAGCATCAAAAATCTCATTATGATTTCGTTGAAGAATTTTTTAAATATTTTTATGCAGAATCGGCTTTTATTCTTTATCTTTTTTTCAATAAGTTTTTTAAGAAACTATTTCGTTGAGTTCTTAACTCTTGCTTCATGGAAACTTCAAAAACTCAATCATATCTTTTCCAATTTTCGAGTTCAAGGAAGCATGGTTAAGACTGATTTCTACGATGTTATTAAAAATATATATTTTTCTCTCATTTTTATATATTTGACACAGTAGTCTATTGCCATCCCCGAATTTTTAAGCAAATAAATGGTCTGAAATGTTTAGGTTTTCAAGAAAGCTAAAATGGGGAAACAACCTTCCAATATTCGGCCCTTTCATCTATATTGCGGCACATTTTTTATCCGATTGCGGCCTCATTTCAAATATTTAAATTCCATCCCTGGTATTTATATATGTATGGTATGTATGTATGTGTATTATTAAGCGTTCCTACCAGGGAAGTTGCGAATATTTGGATTCCCATTCGTTATGTGAATGATTCGCATCATTTTACACATTCGCATTCCCATCGAATGATACGAATGTGAATGTGTACATGGGCAGAGAGTTCACTCTAATATTGTTGAAATGGCTCTAAGTCTTTCTCATGAACCAAAAATACAAGATCACGCCTTCTTCTTAGTAGCCCGTTATAATCGCATTTAGGAAAAAAGTTGGGCGACTTTTACAATAGCCGTTTGTTTACATTTGTTCTTTGTTTACAATTTGGTGGTGGCTTTTTACTGCAATTTTCTTAATTTTCGCTTGTGACAACGTGTGCACACATAAGGTAAAGAATAATTTAACACATCGACATGATTTACAGAAGAATTTGCATAATAAAAATGATTATTCATGCGTTCAACAATACGCGTTTTTTTTGTTTTCTTCGTTGTTTACTTCTTACAACAAAGATGGCGTCGAGATTTCAACAGCTAGAAAATAACTTTTTTCTTTCTTTCGGGAAGGCGTGATCTTGTGTCTTTCGTTCATGAGTCTTTCTAACCAGCATGCGGACAATAACCGGCTTTTAGCTTCAGGCGCTAAACGGTTAAGTAGCATATCAAGCAAATTGATGGGCCTTCAACAAGTACTGCTAAAAGTCTTATAAGCAACCTAGAAATAATTTAAACTCTGCATAGGTTAAGCTCTCGTTCTATGTTCTAATAATTTAAAAAAAAAAATTCAAGTAATAAAAACGGTGACTTAAGTTGATTATAGCTTTTTTAACGTTATTTCTAACATTCGCATTTGCGAATGTGAAAAATATGACATTCGAAACATACTAGTTCTTACAATAGTTTGACATACATAAATACCATTTACAAGTGTCCCATTGCCGACTTTCCGACTTTTCTATTCACTTACCAACCAACGCTGATTTACTCTTCTGTCGCCTAAAACATACACACTTAGATATTAAATAAATGATTGCCGTAATAATTAAGCAAAATTAAGTAAGAGGAAATATATGCATACATAGTTTCCAGGCAACCACTCAACGGTTTTCCAAGCACAAGTGCGGCTCAAATGTTGCATTTAATTTGCACAACAACATACATACATAAATAAGCTATAACTTAAACAAAACGTTTAGCTATAAGAAGGAAGAGTATACAAAAACAAGTATGTAATAAATCACAATCGATGTCACTCATTCCACAAATAAATTATCTTTACAATTGTCCACTTTTTATAGACTACTTATTGTCTAAACAATTCCAAAAAAAAACATACTATATGCTTGTATTAATATTTGTATGTTTCACAAATCCACCGTTAATTAGACTTTAGGCATGTAAGCCTTGTAAAAGTGAGCTTTAGTTGACTGAGTAGTAGTTTTTTGTAACAACGGGAACTTTAAGACTAAAAACTATTTTTGATGTGAAACCATGTGAAACCTGTTTGGTTTGGGCACTGTGAAATTTTACTTTGTACCAGGGACCGAGAACAAAAGGTATTGTCGAAACTAAATGTCGCTCATGTAGTTTTGTTAAAAACTTGCTTAAAAGCCCAAACCGAAATGAGAAAAAAGCGTTTGGGAGTGTTTCCACAGGGACGAAAGTGAGAATAAAACTGACGAGAACGTTCTCAACGGGAATTATATAAGAACAAATCGCTCGGGAACGTTCCCGAAGCAAAAAAATGCAAACAATATGTTCGGGAACTTTTTTAAGAGGACAAAATGGGAACAGAAGTCTCCGGAATGTTCTGGTAAAGAACAAAACGGTAACAGACGTCTAAGGAACTTTCTCTCGTAGAACAGTTTGGGAAGATAATGAAACGGGACCAAATCTTCTCTGAGCTATTCGCGAGAATTAAGCCAACTTAAGACACGAACTTTTTTCTTTAGCACAGAAAATTAAAATTTGTTCCATACATGGATAGTCCACCCTATTAACAAACGATCTGAAAGTTAAAATGATCCATCTTTCCTCTGGCTTAAAATTAACAATCATTGTCCCAACTGAAACGATTTTTCATAAGCACACGCAGACACCCCTTCTCATTGGAAAAATTCCCGAAAATTTCGTTCTCATTCTGTACTTCTTGGGAACGTTCTCGAGAGTTTGATTTCACATTTTAGTCTTTTTGAGAACATTCCCGAGAGTTTTCTTCGCATTTTGTTCTTTGCGGAAACGTTCCCGAGCCTTTTGTTCTCATTTTGTTCCCGTTCAAACTAATTTCAATACCTTTTTTACCGTTTGGATCTTTTGTGGGAACGTTCTTGACAATACATTTTGTTCTCGTGTTGATTTGAACCAAAACCGGAACGCGTCCTCGGTCAATCCTTTGTAATTTTATAACAGGGGTGGGCAAGCCGGTGGCTAATAAGAGCTACATTCAAATTGTGTTTGTTACAAAGAGTACAAAAATCACTCATAAAATTACTAAACTTAACCAGCCAATGCTTAGGTTTTCTTTTGGGTCTTGATCAAAAAATTCCCCCCGACTTTTTATTCGGGGACTTACATATATATTCTAGACTGCATCACCAAAAAAAGTTGCGGTTTTTCCACAGCAATTACAAAATTTAGTATATTTGAAAACTTCATCGAAAATATTTCAGAAAAATATTAAGATTTACGTGAGCTGGGCGGATTTGAAAATTCGTCCAAAATGGAGTTTTTTGTGCATAAAAATAGTTGGGGTGTTCACAATTCGTTCCAAATAGTGTCTCAAAATGTAGACGTCTACATTTTAAGACGTTTTCTAACCGTAAAATCTGTGGTGTTGTTGTTTCCCATACAAAATTGGAAAACGACGCCGTCTACATTTTGTCACACTCAAAGGTATGTTTTTTACGCGTCTACATTTTGCAACCTCGCAGCAGGGTTGCATTATGGCAATACTAATCGCATTTTTTTTATTTATTGGGCACGTTTTCTGTATTTGCATTTAATTTGAGCGCAATTTCTGATGAAAAGAAACAAATCAAGGAAAAGAAATAGCAAATATTAGGAATTGGTAATTAAGTTAAATAATTACAATTTTTCAGAAACAAAATCGAAAGGCGACATATAAAAAAGCACGCAAAGAAGAAATGTCTGGCAATACCAGCAAAGTTTTGAGACGATTTTGCGACGACTGCTAGAAAGGGGTGCTCACAGTTTGATGCTAAAGATGTCTCAAAATGTAGACGTCTACATTTTCAGACACAATTTGGAACGAACTGTGAACACCCCAAGTGTCTTAAAGGATTTTTTGGAAAAAAAATCCCCTCAGAAGACAAAACACCTCAAGCTTAAAAAATCTGCATAAACATACGTTTTATCAGTATCGTTTGAACAACAATCGTTTCAAAGTAACGTGATTTATGCCCAGGTCTTGTTCCGACTGCAAGGACTTTTAAAACGCGGGCAGAAGCAAGCTCTTTCTTCTTCGTCACACTTCCTGTTAGGCTGTTGCCTCAACTTGTGAATGCAGTAGAGACTTGAGTATCTGCGGACTTAACTTTTCAAGTAGTTTACTTTCTTGTTTCCTAAAAAATAGCCAAATACGAAGGCTCCAAACGGTACTCTAAACTTTAGAATTACTTTAAATTTTCTCAGTGAGTTTTTATTTAAAAGCTTTTTAGTTTTTTTAGGATTATAGTTTTAAGCGATAATTATCTTGATCATCGATGAATTTTTTAAACTTGTATGAGGACTTGCTTTGGCGGAAAAATTCCTTTTTTTGATTTTTAATTCCTAATTACAATATAACCCATATCAATACTACCACACAAAAAAATATCCACCTGCGTATGTATATGATCATTATCGATAGCTATCAAAATTTACTATTACAAGCAAATATTTGTGTAAGGGTTTATTAACCCACTTACAAACATATAATTGATGAGGGAATTATACGAGCACACAATCAATGTATTTTCTAACTAATTAACCTCTTATACATATTTACATACCTACTATACATACATATATACTTACTTATAATCCCAATATAAACTAGTTAAGAGATAATTACTAATGAATATCATGCAAACGATAAGAAGATACTTAATTGAATGTAGGTATATATATATATACATATAAATATACATATAAATACAGATATCATATAACACTTGATTCGCGATTGTATGAATGTGCAAAAATAGCAAATTAACACTAATCAAGAGCATTTTACATTTAAAAACAAAAATGTTTGTAAATCCTAAATGTGTACTGATTTTATGAATCCAAATATCTTGAAAGTCCTTAGGTGTTTGCTCACTGAAAATCATTAACTGTACTTTTACAGTAGACGTACTAAATGTCATTAACAGAACAAAAGAAAACACGATTGTGCAAGGCACAGTTTTGAGTTAGTCAGGTTTTTGTAAAGCTGTATACACACTTATATACATACTTGCATACATATTTTTGTACATATCGTCGTTTAAAGTTCAAAACCGCTAATCGTCGTTCTCCAAAACCGCGTAACTGAAATTTATACCAAAAATGAGTTTTGCTCACAGAAAGCACCTGGCAGCTGGTCTTATCTATTCGTACCAAAATAGCGATTTGTAACTAGCCTGAAATGGGATTGCTTTATAAAAGAGAAACCCGTTTTGAAATAAGACCCACGGCAGTCGGGTCTAGGTAACCGGAACGACCCAGATTTATATCTGGCCAAGGACCGTCACTCCAGCAACACTTCCCAAAACTCTTTAGGGAATTTGCATGCTGTTAAAACAACAACAAACACAATTTTTACTCTCCACTGTAAAATTTCGATAACGTCATATGTGCCGGTTTGCTGTATCTTGATATGCGTTTTGTATTTTAAACGACGATATATGATTTTGAAATTCGAACTATATACATACATGTAAATCTATTAAAGATGTTTTCACATGATTCATTTATTTTAAACCACCTAAAAGTTATTAATACATAAATGTGTATTTTAAACTTATAACGCAAACCGGTTTAAAAGAAGTATGTATGTATTACCTAATAGACTATGCTGTGATCCTTCCCTACTATTATTATTTTCTGTTTTATTTTTAACCCAAAGAAAATATCTATTGTTAGCTGTATTTCTTCCTATGCGTGTCTTTAGAATTGTTAAGTTTGCCAAATAAAATTTTTGTTGCTTCATTCCTGTGATGAAATGCCTTTGACCTGTATGTCTTTAACCCGCTAATGGAACAAAAAATAACAATATAAAATTATAGATGTTGGAATAACAAATTTTAAATACATAATATGCATATTGTTTGCTCAGAAGAAAAAATGTATTTAATTTCATTTCGAAAAACTTCGCATTATGACAACAGTGTGAATCTGTTGACCACCCGCTTGTTATTTTTATGTAAGTTTCACTATCGCTAATCTGATATCATTAAAATGGAAGAACTAAGCAAATTTTGTTTATTTGGTTTTCGAGTATTTTACAATTATTTCAAAAGGTTCAATGTCTACATGAGGAAAGTTAATAAATACCATCGTTAATGATCTCTCTAAATGGTCTCAATTTAAATATTTGTTTTCTTTTAATCGAACATGATTCCTCAATATTTTTATTGTTTTATTTTATTGCAATGAGTAATAAAATAACTACAATTACTTTGATGCCCAAATGATGGGTAAATTCAATTCGTTATTGATTAATAAAATAAAAAGAAATACATACATATTATATTACTATTATATTAAAACTGAATTGATGTAGTATTTTATAACGGCAATTGTAAGCTTAGTAAAATAATAAGCAATCATTAATAAAAGTGCATATGAATAAAACTAGATTGTTGTAATAGTTTTGAAATAAAGAATGAAACGATTTCCATTTCGTTTAATAATTTTACCAAGTGCTTATGAGGAAATTTAGGTGAGTATGGAATATATTGGCTAGCCGTAATAAAACCAGATGCTAAAACATTTTGTAAAAATTAACTCTGCGGCAGTTACAGCCTATGTCACGAAAGCAATTTAAGTGAAAAAATTATTTTAACTTTTTGAATTTTATGTGGAAATTGACAGAAAATAAAAAACAATTTTCCACTTAAATTGCTGGTGAAATCGGCTGTTAGAGTAAATATACTTTATTGAAGTTTCTTGAATTGTCTTCTAACATTTGATTAAAACGATCTGTTCATGTAAGAGTTAAGCGCGGGATTTAAAAAATATACGTTTTCCCAGAAACCGATTCGTACAACTGGCTTCTTGCTAGAGCTGCGGCTAATGAAGGTGCTAAAAGACAGGGGTTCTTAAACTTTTAAGATGATAGAACCCTTACTAAACCCCATTAATTTTATGGAACCCCACATTAAATTACTAAAAGTCAAAGGCAGTGCAATTTCTATATAAATAAAAACTTTTACTAGAAATAATAAACATACTCTAAAACTTAATGTAGAGAATGAAATTGTTTCACTGTTATTAATTAAGTATTGTATAACATAGTAGTTCGATATAATGTCTGAAAGCTGTATGCACATTTCTGGGGTAGCATCTAATTTCGACCTGAAATTGTTTTTTGTATAAGTGTAAGCTGAAAACCCTGTTGACAGAGTACGTTGTAAAAGAAGGAAGCAAAGTTAAGATGGCATTTTTAGCGACTTCATGATATTTACTCTTAACACTAACCCAAAACTCTTTCAGAGACACAGATTCAAAGGTGTGTTTCAATGTCGAAGTATTCTGAAGATCTATGAATGCTTCGTAAATGGATTTTGTACCAAGTTAATATTACTACGACCATCCGAAAAATAATCTGACGAAGATTTCAGGTGATTTACCAAGTTCCCAGTTATGACATTTCACATTTCATTTGGCAATTCATCGCGTTCCTTGCAAAAAGTTGTATATAACCCTTTGACTACAGCGGCCAGCAACACATACCAGTGAAAAAAAAAAACAAGCTGACAAGGGCAAGTTCAGCGCTCTTATGTAGGTATGGCACTCAGTACGGCAATCATACTAACTACGAGTACATATCGTCTCCTGAAATGCAAAAAATGTAATAACATCGCAACTGAAATTGAAAAAGTCGTG